AGTTTTGATGCAAAAACGCATGATCGCACCGGCTCGCCTGGTGCGTTCCAGCCTTTGTTTCTAATGGTCCCCTTTCGCTTTCCTCACAAATGTGTTTTCATAGGCTTGCACAACAGAAGCGTCACTGCCGCTCGTCAAAAGTCAGAATCTCCTCCGTATTCGCTCCCAGTAAGAGCGGCGGCATCAGGAAGTAACTCGACTGGTAGCAAACGCCAATAACAACCAGTCACTGCCAAGATTGTTGATGACTTCCTCTCTCGGTGGTTGCTTACAAACAAGCTGATAGCAGGTTTGTTTTCTTGGCATGCAGTTTGCTATCGAAACGAAGTCTCAGCAACGCAGTAGAACTCTCAACCTACTGTATGGCAACAGTGTTGCTTGCCAGTGCGCTACAGCTGCTCGTATGCAGCACAAGTGATTGATAAAATGAGCGAACCATGATTGTTTTGTGCGCAACAAGGATGAACTCTGCCAGAGCAGGATGGACAATATCCTTTTCCACAACCGTATCCGGTCGAACATTCTGCTGTGGGGCAGCACCCTGATAAATTTGTTCGGAGTAAATGCGGTAATTTCAATGTGCTTGCAAAACTATGATTGTGAGACGAATACGCTGGGAGGCTCCATCGGCAGCAGCAACGAAGGCATCACGGAATTGCTGCGCTTCCTCGGTGACAACCTGAACAAAGCCAGCATCATATCGACAGAACTGAGTGCCAGGGGAGATGAGTCACATACCGTATTTCACCGAATCATTAGTTCCCTAAAAGAGCGAGAAGACCTCACCTTGGCATACTCTTGGCATACTCTCCCTCGGACACACCACTTCGTAAAACAACCACATGTTCCGGTAAAGCCCGCGTTGTGGAAGTTTCCTTGAAAATGCGAACTGCTTTTACGACATGTTCAGTGAGGAATTTTGCAACATGCAGACGCGGCTCCTGCATCTAGTATTCACCTTGCATTGTAAATGCATCGCGACACGAGTACGTCATCTACAAGGGTATGTCATCTCATTTTTCTACACGAGTACATCCACCTCATTTATTCTTATTATTATTGCTATTACCATTGTTACTGCTATTATTGTTACTGTTATTTTCAACAACATCATCAGCAACAGCAACCGTGCCAGCACCCTCCCCTCCTCTTATGGATAAACAATAAGATGAAAAGCGCCAGGATTGTCGGCGCTGTCGTCCGCTTTTGTATTAAAATTGAGGCAAACAGGTCGTTAACTGTGTGAACTTTTTTTGAAAATGACCTAGCTCTTCGGTTAGCAATTCTCCCAACAAAACTTTTAAGTATGTGAGGACAACGCATGCTTGGTGACTGAAATTTGAAATCTTTAAGATGTATTTGGACAGGGCACCTTCAGCCTCCCAGCTTTTCTGTTTCTGGTTACCATGGTATTGAGGTGACACTTGACCGCGGAACCCGCTGGTAAAATTACAGCGTCAAAGCTTGCTCGGCTGCCGAGTTAAAATACTCGGACAAAGGCGCATACATACGCACACACAGTGGGCTGTCACAATAGGCGTTTTTGCAAACATAGAAAATTTGAATGAAAATTTTGAATAAGCGGAGCCCTTAAACTCACTGCAACAATGGTCGGTTCGCTAGGTGCTATGCGTGCCTGTCGTTCGTAGAGTGATTATGGCGTTGCATGTGACATGTCAAGACCAAAAAACAGTCTTGTTGATCGGAGCCAGTCGTTGCCGCTACAAATGATTTTGTATCGATGGCCATTGTCCATAAAGTTACAAACTGTACGGGAATGAGGAAGAAAACATGAATGCTTGTTTGAATTTAAACAAAAAAAAGGAAGGGAGAGTGTGACGACGCACATAACGTTGTTGACGAGCCGATTTTTTCTCAGAAAATCAACATGGCACTGGTTAAAATTTACATTTGGCAGAACGCGAGAAACACAAAGGCTTAATGTGCTACCTTCTTCGCAGATGCAAAAAAACTTCGGGAAAGGAATTGAGCTGTGCTGCTGGTGATGACTGCTGTTCGGATGGTAAATTTTTCGTTGCATTGCAGAAGTTAGAAATCAGTTAAAAATCAGTTAGCTAAAAAGTTAGAAATCAGAAGCTAGAAGTTAGCAGTTGTAGAAGTTAGAAAGTCCAAATTTTGAATCTGCGAGAATTTTTTTTTTTGGTAACTTCCAGATTTTGGTAACTTCCAGATTCCATCACGACGTGCATTGTTACGAGATGTAACATTACTTTCCAAGTAACCTGTTCTGTGATAGTGTTTGACGCGAACTGAGTCCCTCTATTTGTCGAAAGAAAAGAAGAAGGGTACCCCCAATCCCAACAATCAAACAGTTTTTTTTTTGACGTTTTTAATCTAAACGAATCCTGGTATCGCAACTGACACGGTTTATAAAAGGTCAGTTATGTTATCGAGAAGTTGTTTCACCAAAAGCTGTACACTGCCCCGCGTTCTTCAGATGGAAGAAAACAAGGCAGAGGAGTGAACCTGAACAGAGAAGGTTTGGTCATTAAAAATAAGGACATAAAGCACATTTTTGTCAGTAATTTGCATGCCCACTGAGGCTATGCGCTGCTGGAACAATTTGTCACAAAAACGCACGGTCACTTGGTCCATCCGTTGTGTTCCGCTGATTATATTATCCAGAAAACAAAGCAATTGAAAAGACACCAATCATAATAGCTTAAGTCAAAAGTCGTAGATCCTTCCGCATTCACTCTCTAAGGGACACTTGGGAAGCAGCGCGATTGGACAGCCAAGGTCAACATCAAGCAAACATACTGTGTTATCATCATTAACCACCGCTAGCAAAGCTGCCACCGGTAACTTTCTAGGAAAGAAAAGCCAATAACGGGACATCTTTAGGTGCTCCCAGACATGATAATTGAGACAAATAACAAATATTGAGCAGCTGCTCTTATCGCTGCAGAGATCGAATTTTTTTTTTTTACTAAGAAAACTCTAAGAAAGTTCATCTTTTTGGAAAGTTCATCTTTTTGGGATATTTTCAATTTTGAGTTTTGAGTGATTTGAATTTTCATCCAGATATGTTGGATTTTTTTTTAAGTCCGAGCAGTTAATTTTCCCAGCAACTTCCAGCCATAACAGCCGAAATGATTCACTAAGTTGAGGGCTGAATTTTCTGCAAGAGGGGATTAATTTTCCACAAACAGATCCGAACGAATGGCTTGGTCCTGAAATTATGCGTCATCTGCCAGGCCCGTCAGATATGGTTAAGCGCAATAACGATAAAATACTGTTAATGATCAAAGAAAACCATCCTGTGATTCTTGTGAGGCGAAAGAGCTACCGCATCTATCCCAGGAAGAAAAGCTGCGTGTCGATACGATAAATCACGCAGTCCATGACACCTTGTGACTAAGAACAACGCAAAGACCCATTCCGCGAGCAAAATTCGGAGAGATTCCAGACGCTGCTTTTCTTCAAGATTTCCATCCACCGTCCAATTTTAAGAATGAAGAAAACTGTTGTGAAAATGGCGTGCAGTGCTTGAGCAGATCAGGTAAGTCTCACCCCCACTGTTTTAGAAATTTCTACTGGAAAAAACGCGCAACGAAATGACAGTCTACCCAACTTCCATCCACCTTTATAGTACCACTATTTCCCGCGCCATTTCTGCCAATTCGTTCGCAGATAAACTATTTTGTATAGATAAACTATTCTGCGTACTTTATGTTAGTATTTAGAATGAGCTCCAGCAACAGAATGATTTTGCAACTAAGCGGTTAATGACGTTTATAGTTCTCTGATTAATCCTGCACGGGAAAGAAAATTTTTCCGCACCGAAGCAATTCTTCATGGGCAGTAGACGCAGACTACTGTAGTACCAAACTCCATTTTTATGCGTTTTTATGCGTTTTTGCCTATATGCAAATTGCAAAAACGCATATTGGGACGACTCTGTCTCTGTGTGTCTATGTATGTGTGTGTATGTTTGTGTGTGTGTGTGTGTGTGTTCGTCCGTCCGGGTATTTCAACTCAGCAACCAAGCAAGTTCCAGGGCCGAGATTTTGCTAATGAGTACCCCG